GTTTTATATTGACGGAACCATTACTTTGCCAATATAAAAACTGTGCGGAGAGAACTCAAAGTAAATGTGCATAATTATGTACACTAGATCTTAAAAGATTAATACCTACCAAATTATTATATTATATTTATCTGTGCGTTGAAATTATTTTACAACAAAGCATACAACGATTATGATCTCCATGGGAAAAAATATGGTGCATATAACCAAAAATATTGAATTGTGAGCAGTATAGTTGCATCACCCTAATTATCTTTGTATTACGGAAATGTGTATAGTTGATATGACTCAGTTACTTTGGTACATCAACTACATTGATATAGTTGCGCGTGATCTAATTATGGCAATCAGATATCGGTTGGGGTGACACTTACCATGGATACACTCTGGCTGGAGCAACGCCAGTAACTCAGCAATTGCTACTCTGTAGTCGCTGCAATACATAATTAGTTGCTCCATATTTTACTATTGGAATCTGGTTGACACAACCAGATTTATGTGTGAGCCAACCCCATATATAACTTCAATATCGCTTTTTTCCGTGCAGGCTTGATGGTTATAATGGGATATGGTTATTAGACTAAACCTTCCTTTCTTTCAGTGCACAGATGTTATCGAATGATAACGTTGAACGATCCACAAAAATCCCTTTCACGGGACTGACCGCGTTTCGCTGCGCCCTTCTAACGCATTCGTCCGCGCGCGGTAATCTCCAATCGGCGATACATAAATCTGCTGGTCGGAATTGACGGAGAATCCATAACGCGGGAGAAATATAGGCGACAACAGCTAGAAAATCCGGTCGTGAGTGGGCTTCGCCAGAGCGACGGACGTTTAACAGGGACGACGGTGGGCCGGCATTTTTACGCGCGATCTCGCTCGCATATTTCATGTCAGTTCAACTGAGATTTTCCCCCGCGTCTTTGTATCTTTGTATCATCGTAGCGCGATCGTACACGCATATACGCGCGCGCGCACGCACACACACACACGCGCGCGCGCTTGTAATTGCCGCGACTGGGCTTCGGTGCTCTTATCTTACAGCGCCGGTCTGTTAGCGAGCCGAGACGCGTCGCGTCGCGTCGTCCCGCGTCGCCTGGTGTCGCGTCGGTCTCTCTCGCGAAGCGTAGCCGCGATTGACCGCGTGCGAGAACACGATATCGCACGAATGAGTTATGATCCCTATTCGAGGATTTGCATACCGATTCATTATGCGCCGGTGGAACTCAAAATTGGAACGCAACGTGGCGCAACAGATCGCGCGAGCGCTGCATGGTACGTCGAAGGAGGGCGGCAGCAGAAACGATAAATCAAAGACCTCCTGCCCCGTGTGCCCTCCGTTCTGCCTCTTCCTTTTCGCGAGGCTGCATGCAAATCGCACTCTCATTAATGGCGAACGAACGGGGCATCCTCTCGGCGCAGAGGAGCTTACCGCGCACAATTTTCGCGTACCGCGAGGTTATCGCTTCGAACGCGCGCAAATTCGAGTGCGAGCCGCTCGCCTCGGCGAAGGCCGTGCGCGCACAGATGTACTAAATTGCATACAAACAAATCACTTTGGCACGGTCGACGTGCGCAAACACTGTTGCGTAATGCCACGCCGTTGGGTAATTCTATTTATGTAACGGTAGTGCCATTGTCGACGCATGTTGTACCGAGATTCGGACTTTGTGTCGCGAAAGGTTCCGCCATTATCGGGCTATCCTAAATCACCGTGTGCCGGTTCACGTGTTAGCATCGCGACGTTCCCACCTTGTCCCCTCCCTTCCTTCGACGTGTGTCTTATTTACAAAGTTGTGTATCGATTATGTATTCTCGCAGAGTACGCACGTAGAGGACGAACGCTCCGAAATGGAAACTTAAATTACAGTCACAATTCTTGCATCATGACGTGTGTTAACGTGTGTTAATACATTGTAGATCAATCATTTTATTGCTAGCCGTGCTCCGTGGCCAAGTTTGCGCAAAAAGTTCTTCGTGCTTGTCAAATAAGAAAAGAGAAAACAGAACTATGCAATTCCAGAGAATCAGAATCTTTACGAATAAAAGGAACAGCATCGATCCAGTATGTTCTTAAATATCTTCCTGTTTCCTTTTTAATACACATATTTCCTAGAAGAATTAGATAGAAGAATGACAAATATTTTGCCCAAGATGAATATTATTGTGTCACAACACGAGAACTCTCGTGATTCGTCCGCAATGTATTAACCATCCAGATGACTTTCATGATTTTCGCAACATGAGACAATCGATGATGGAAAAACTTTATAATTTTTTAAGTTGAATTTATAAAATAAATATATTGTATTAAATTAACCATTAAATTTTTTACACCATAAATTAATGATGTAAATATATAATATATATTAATAATATTAATGCATAAATAAATATTAATGCAATAAATTTATTAAAAGTTACACACGGATTTTTCACATCACATTTCACATGACGTATTTGAAAATTTTTCTCACGTTTATCGTCACTTTGTGTAATAAATATGAGTGTCATATTCAGAGAGGACATACATACCTACAATAATTTTTTTTTATATAAATTCTTTTCAATTTTATCAGTAAAATCTATCTTGCTAAGAAACATAAGTAGATTTCGTTAGAAACATAACAAATTTTTTAATAGCACGTTTCAATTTCTAAGTTATAAATAAAACATATGAAATAAAAAAAAATCGATTACCGCAAAGTCAGTTGCTACAGAATGTGTAATAAATATGAGTGTCATATTCAGAGAAAACATACATATCTACAATAATTTTTTTTATATAAATTCTTTTCAATTTTATCAGTAAAATCTATCTTGCTAAGAAACATAAGTAGATTTCGTTAGAAACATAACAAATTTTTTAATAGCACGTTTCAATTTCTAAATTATAAATAAAACATATGAAATAAAAAAAAATCGATTACCGCAAAGTCAATTGCTACAGAATGTGTAATAAATATGAGTGTCATATTCAGAGAAAACATACATACCTACAATAATTTTTTTTTTATATAAATTCTTTTCAATTTTATCAGTAAAATCTATCTTGCTAAGAAACATAAGTAGATTTCGTTAGAAACATGACAAATTTTTTAATAGCACGTTTCAATTTCTAAATTATAAATAAAACATAAAATAAAAAAAAATCGATTACCGCAAAGTCAATTGCTACAGAATGTTGATGCTTTCTTTACAAAATTTTATAGTAATTTTTGCTATAAAATTCTCTCCGTTTATATATAGACTATTCATAAGGGACGCAACCTTTACAAATCGACTAAATAAAGTTGCTGCCGAATTTATACACACATGTCTATATGAGTATTCGTTAGTATTGGTTCTCTCTCCTCGCGGTTCTCTCTGGATCGAGTAATTGAAAAAAGAGAAGGAGATTGAAATACAAAAGAGTCAACGGCGAGCAGAGCAGAGAGATTGCTTCGAAAGACGGATGAACGGATTGTCCGAGATAAGAGGAGATGACAGGTGAGGTACGTAGGCGGAGGCGGGACAGATAGTCCGATCTGGGTGCACGAGATGCTACCCACGTTGATACTCTTACAGCTATATCATCTCCTCCTCTTTTAATTCTCCGATAGGTGTGTCATTTGTTTCTTCCTTTGCCGCCAAGTGTCGCGACGCTTGTTCATCATTTCTATAAAGTAATTTATAATATCATTTGCTAACACGATAAGCGAAATTCCTCGTCCACGGCTAACGTTCGACGAACTCTCTCCGCTGGGAATCAATTAAGCGACATCACGATGATTCCCGCGTACACCATCGTGTCCTCTCGTCGCGTTTGACGACAACGCGAATGGACACCGGCGGAGTCTCGCGCCAGCTTCTACGCGGGTAGAAACACAGACTGGGTTAATGAGCGCGGGTATCATTCGCGAACGATCCGTCATCCTGACCTAAACGACTTTCATCCCCGAAGAAGGTAGCTCGGCCCGGCGGGCAGCACAGGCGAGGGTAGGGAGGCGATTGCCCGCGCGACTGCATTAAAGCGCGCGTATCCGTGGCTTAAGCAGCAACGGCAGCAGCAGCAGCACCGGGAGTAGCAGAAGCAGCAACGGACACCCCTCCATGACTGCAGGCTGTTTCTCCTTTCGTCTCTTCTCGCGCGCTAGTCGCTCTCTCCTCCTCGCCAGTGGTTAGTCCCGGCTCCCTCTTTTCTCTCCCTCCCGGCCGGTCCCTCGTCTCTTTCACTCTACCCCATCCCCCCTGATCTCTCACTGCCGTCACTGCCTCGCTCCCTGCCTCCTCTCCCGAGTCTCTTTAGTTTTGTGCGCTACCTGCCTGCCTGTGCCTGCCTGCCTGCCTGTGCCTGCCTGCCTGTGCCTGCCTGCCTGCCTGCCTTGTGGCTCGCTCGTATCGTATCGTATGTAAGTGAGGCAAGGTGCCGTGGCGCGCGCGGGACGAGGCCGGGGCCCCGAGACGGTGGGTTAGCTGTGTGCGGCGCGGCATGGCGTTGTCTCCTCGCGTGTAGGCACACGGCCCTCTCACACGTGCTCACGCACGCACGCACGCATGTACCGCGCGTGTGCGCGGCGTAACGGGCACCACGAGGGTGCTTGCGCGCGAGGGAGATAGCGCGCCGCAGTGTACGTGTAAGGAGCTCGTACACGGCAGGCCGGCCAGCATCCGACGCATACAGGTGCGTAAGCGCGTGAGCGCGAGCGGGAGAGAAAGAAAGAGGGAAAGAGATAGCTCTGCCGATTCCGCGATCGCGAGGCTACGCTCTCGCGCGGAGCGTAGCTACATACGCGCGAGAGGAGGACAGAGAGAGAAAGAAAGAGAGATCGCACGCGTGTCTGCGTGCGTCTCTCTGTGCGAGTGTGTACGCGTCTGGTACCGCTCGCGATTGTGTGCGCGGCCGGTGCACAAGAGCGTGGGCTCCCCTCCTTCCGGAGCCACACTCCACCTCCTCCTACCTCTCAGTCTCTACCTCCTTCTTCTACCTGCCGGCCCAGCCGACACACATGTGTATGTGTACCTTGGTCTTCAGTGTAAGATCTGAACCAGCGGAGAACGCACGCTATTGTTATATCATTATCATTGTTATCGTCCGTGGCCGTTCGCGCCCGTGCCCGCCGACTGGTGTGCGTCGCGAACAGTTTGTGTGGACGTTCGTTGCGGTACCGCGAGGGAGGCCAACATCGAAAATCGATCCGATCGCGTACGATTGGTCACGCGTGCATATAACCGGTGACGGGTGCAAACGAGGGAAAGAGAGAGAGAGGCAGAGGAAGAGATACGTGCCCGGGCACGTACGGAACCGCGTGAACGAGAGGCGAGGGACCCGCTGCGTCCCTTCGCGGCCGGCGCGCGGATCTCCGCGGGGTCGAAGGATGACGAGGTGCTGGTACCGCGCCCTCTGACAGTAAGGCGCGCGCATGGGACAGTACGGTGTGAACACGTGGGAAATCGCGGCTGTTAATCATCGTCATCGTCAACAACAACGTGTTGATCCCCATCGAGGATCGTTCGCGAGTGGATTCCTCTCCCGAGTTTACATCGCGTCTGAAGAGTCGATAGATCTGTCGTCGAGAATCGTCCAAGGAGAGATCATCGGGTCTCCACGCTCTTTGTGCGCGCCTACGACGCGTTCATCGTAATCATCGCGTAATCTAAAGTCACCGTGCGATGTTGGGTCTGTGTAGATCGTAGCTACGAGCAGCTGTTAATCGATAGCGGCTGGTCGTAATCAATCAAGAAGGCCGTAGATCAGGATCGGGGGTATCCGATGACAGAGAAGAAGCGCAGGAGACTTCGGATATCGACCAGAGGGACGGGAAGGACAGGACAGGTCGAAAGGAGATTGTAGGTGACGCCTAATTAAAGCGATTAGACTTTGGGGTTAATTGTTCTGGAACGTCAAACTCTCCTACACGACCTCACATTATCGTCGTGTGTCCCCCAGCCGGATTGAAAGGGCAAGCGATCCATGACCGGGCCAACTTGATGAACCTCGAGTCGTCGTTGTTGATCATAGACGAGACGCAGATTTTGGCGTGTGTCCTGGTTTCGCTTCGGTGCCAATTGCCTGTGTGATGGCATTAGCTTTGATAATGCCCCAAGGGCATTTTCCGTTGTCCGTCTTCCACGAGGTCTTTCCTTATCTGCTGTCTCCTTGAGTGATTCCGCCCGATCGCCGTCTATCCTGCTCTTTCATTCGCATTTTCGCGCCCTCTTCATCATCGCCTTTTCTCCGTGATCTCTCAGTGATCGCTTAAAATCTTTCATGCAGAATCCCTCTCGTTCATACGCACAGTCGTTTCAGTGATACGCAATACCCGGGGATCCGACTCGACGCACTGTGTGGTCGCTATGATCTCGACGATTGCTCAATTAGTTTTAAACGTGAGTATATATAGTGCAGCGTGAAAGATTCGTCCGGCTCGTCCGGTTTTTTTGTGAGCGCGCGTGATTAGTGCCGAGGTATCCGTCCGGTCGCCGAGCAGGACCGTTCGTTCAGTGTGGGTGAAACACTTCGATGCGAGAGCTTAATCCTCACATCGGCTGCCATCGGGAAGAAACAGCCATTGTGAGCCGGTGCGCGTTCCAACTAAGGATCGATTATGCGGACGAGTAATCGCGATGGCGAGTGCTTCGCATGATAGACGTTTCGCTCGCTCGGAAGCAGCCAGTTAAAGTCGACGGTAAGTTGTGATGTTTTGCCACTCGGTGCAACGTGTGCCCGTAACGAAAGAAACGTCCTCGAGCAGACGTCCGTGAGTGTTTCATTCAATCATATGTACATGGACCAAGCATCCTTTGCGCGGAGTGTGAAGTTGACAATTGCAGTTTCAAACACAGAGTGAGAAAAGCTATGTCTTTCTCAGCCTAGCATAGAGCCGCCGCTATATAACATAGTTTCCCGACCAATGAGACGGCTCTTGACAGCCACTCTAAGCTAGAATGAAAGGGATAGCCCCAAAACAGCTTTCTCACTCTGCTCCAAAATGCCAATTTCCGAGTGAGAAAGCTATTTTGGGACTATTCCTTTCTCACTCTAGTTTAAAGCAGCTATCAAGAGCCATGAAGCTTTTACAAGGTATAGGGCGGCTCTTGAGCTCTTCAGCCATTCTAAGCTAAAGCGAAAAAAAGAGATAGTCCTAAAATAGCCTTCTCACTCTGCTCCAAAGTGCCAGTGCCAATTTTAAAATGAAAAAACCGTCTTGGAACAATCCTTTTCTCACTCTAGCTTAGAACGATTGTTAAGAGCCGCGTATTCCTAGTATACTACTGTCCAAAAAGTAAGACCAATTTTCAAGTTAAATTGCGCGGGTATATCGAATGTCAGAAATATTTTTTTTCTAAATTGGTAGCACTGTGACAGACATCTGTGTCAAATTTCACATCATAAACGTCAAGACTTGGAAGCTATTCGCAAAAAGAGGCCGGAATTGTGGAAAGACAACTCTTGGTTTTTGCACCACGATTTGCTATCTCACACTGCATTGGTTCTTCGAGACCATTTCGCTAAAAATTCGACCCACAATCGTTCCACAACCACCATATTCACCTGATTTAGCGCCGTGTGACTTCTGGCTATTCCCTAAACTCAAAAAACCGCTCCGGGAACACCGTTTTGACTCGATTGAAGAGATACAAGCTGAATCGAAGAAAGCTTTGAAGGCCATTCCGGAAATCGACTTTAACAACTGTTTCGAGGGTTCGAAAAAACGTTGGCATAAGTGTATTGTGTCTGAGGGGGATTACTTTGAAGGAGACGAAATAGATTTGGAATAATAAATAAAGATTTAAAAAAAAATTGGTTTTACTTTTTGGACACAGTAGGATATGTGAAACACAATTTTCCAACGAATATGGCGGCTTTTAAGATTCCTAAAACGGAAGGGTCCCCAAAACTTAAAAGATCCGCTTGAATCTCTAAGCTACAGTGAGAAAAGAATAGTTTTTTCATTGTGTCCCAAATTTCTCCCACTGCTATAAAGCTATACGAACGCTTGGTCAATGTGACATACGTCGTTGGTTTCATCTAACAGTAATCCGCGTTTCCCGCGAAGGCGATCTCTTCGTCGCGACTTGCACTTCGCTCTGACTCCTTAAGCGAGATCATTACCCGATTTCGCACGCGAGTGGTAATTCCATGTGCCGCTGCGTGCCGCACGTGCTACCGGTCGACCTCGTCGAAGATACTTTACGTATCCAGGATGAATTGACAGAAAAAGGCACAGTCAACGGATCGTTCCTCCGCGAACGTTAAGTGAATCTTCGAGCGATAATGCCAAACCATCGTCGTTTCACAGAGCACGAAAGTCAAAGAAAGCGACCTGAAAAACGTTAATTGGCAGCTCAGAGAGGGATTCGCGAGGCTCGCGAAACTAGCAGACGCAGCTCGATCTCGCGTCTCATAGCCGACTCGCGGCTGCGACTATGTCTCTTGACCAATCAGAAAGGAGTTGCCAGTTACTGGCGCTTTTCTCATTGGTCAAGAGACATAATCGCAGTCGCGAGTCGGTAGTGTGATACGACTATCACGCGGAATCGTGAGCGCAGAGAGCCGAGCGACTCTTGGGGATTCTCAGGCCGCGGCCAAATGGAACGGCGATAAATCCTCCGATTGTCGAACATCGATAATCGTTCGGCGAACATTGTCCAACCCGCGACCGGTTATCACGCGCACGTGATCGGGCCACCGGTTCGATTCCCGCCGGTCGCGAGCTAATAAAAATCCCACGCTCGGTCACGTTCGCGACTTGCAACGCTCCGCGGCGAATGTCGATTGACATCCGCGACGCGATCGGCTTTCGGCCGATTCGTCGGAACTCGCGCATTACCGGAGTAATCCGGCTGAATAGCGCCCGTGGCCGCGGAATGTCGCGCAAAACGCGCTCGTCCGGGACTTCCAGACGGGAGGCTCGTTTCTCGTTTTGGTAGACTGCCCTGTAATGGCACTCGGCGCGATACGCGGTCTATTTTAATTAGAGGCGCAAGAAAAGCCTTTTGCCGCCGCGTACGGCGAACAATCGTCTCGATGAGATCGCGGTTGCCGCGCGGCGAAGGTGCGCGTTAAAAGGTGCGCCGACGCATCGCGACACGTTCGTACTTCCTCGGATTGTGCGTGTATTTTTCGCGCGGGCGCGAATCGGCGGTCACGTTAACGTGGTTAGCCTTAAATCTGTTTTCTTCTGGAAATATTTCCAAATTTCAACAGCATGCCAATGGAAACAGCACACTGAGAAAAAAATGTTTGCCTTTTGTAATTACACTGAGAGAAGAATTTAGTCAATATTATCAAAATTTGGTTACTATTACTAAATGGTAGACGTAAATATAGCGGGCCAAAGCTATGGCAATACTTATTAATTAATTTAGTTCTGTAAAATAAATTACTTATTTGACAGAAGTAAAATTTATTTGCTTCCAGAATATATTTGGTAAATAAAACTTATTGAACAGTTGAGCAAATTAAGCGATTTTGTAGTAGTTACAACATTTTTGGTAGGTTCAACCAACCATCTGTAATAATAGATATTGAAACGATGTAATAGCTGCAAATGAATGAATTTTTCGTTGTGCTGCAACAAAACATACTTATACTGGTAACAAAATAGAACTCGTACCTACTGAATTTTTTATTACATGGGATATAACAATTTCATAACAATTATCAAATATCTGCTCATAACTGTAATATATTTCATATTAAATATTTAACATTAAGTAACTATTACTAAATTATTTAATTGATGTTACTGTGAATGCAATTACGTCATACTCCCGATCTATTAAATATTTGGTAATTATTATCATATTTAGTATTAGTTACTAAGGATTCAATGAATTTCTGTAACTAAATGCAGTTTGTTACAGTTACCAGTCTTTTCTCTCAGTGTATAATCATACAGAGAAATAATTATAGTCGAAAAATGTAAATGTTATAGTCAATGAAATGGACTTTTTTATTAAATTCTACTATAATGTTAATGATAATAACCTTACATGTGTCAGTATGCATGTTACCACTACACAGAAGAAAGGATTTGGTTGGATTAACCAAGTGTCTGGCGAAATATGAACGAACTAAAATTATGGGGTTAAAGTTATTAGAATTCTGTTCATGTTGATAAGATTGGTTAACCAAACAAGATTTCTGTTTAATCAGAACTTTGTAACTATTCAATTTCAACAGTTTAAATAGAATTCTGCTAACTTTAATCGAAAATTCTGGTTCGTTCATATTCCATCACACATTTGATTAATGCAACCAAATCCTTTTTTCGATATATCATTTTCGTGTTAGAACAGTCGAAAAATATGTTTGGAGCCAAAAATAATTTTAATTTTAATTAGATAAATTTTTTCTCTTAGTGTATCTATACGTATGCGCAATTAGAAAAAGATTGATTATATGGGAGCTGACATAATTGAAGTCAAAGTTAGCATTATTTACATGTGACGCAGAAACTGCTTTCGATATCACGTTTTCAATTCTGGTGACCAAATCATTCTTAAGCTTTTAATGAAAAACAAGAAAATACGCGATAAGAGATACTTGTAGAAATATTACAAAGAAATTATCAAGACTACTGATTGTCAAACTTTTGAAAAATTAATATGTAAAGTACACAGATTTTAACAGCGATTGAAATATATGACAACTAACCTATACAGATTCGGGAATATTGTATACGCTGTATTTCCCTGTATTTCTTGGTTAGGTGTCTTTTTAAAAATAGAATGGTTAAATGATCTTAAAAATCTATAATATATATAATATATAAAAATCTATAATATATAAATTTATAATATATAAATATATACGAGAATGTATATTCTCTCTGTGTATACAGTGGATTCCAAACGATGTAAACACAAAGTTAGGAGTTTATCAAACTGTCAAAATTGAAATTACCGACGGACTTACGTAACCATAATAATATAATTCGTAATTGAGAACATTAAATAATAATAAATAATAACACTGATATAAATAAATAATAATACTAATACTGATCAATAATAACAATACTATATAATACTATATAATACTATAGAAATACTAACAAATAATAATAATAATAATAATAAATATCCTAATTAGTAGACGAATCCCATCATACAGTAATGACTCTCACACACACAATTTTGACATTACATAAATTATATTATTATATAAATTTGATTAATATTCTCTTACAATATATAATGTCAAAACCGTAAATATACATACATTATAGATCGTACTTATAATATTTAGCGCAAATTATCGAGTTTTCTCATTAATCTTTTAACCTTTTTAACAGTATCACAAACCAACTATCTTAACAAACGCGGGGGAAAAGGAATCACTCGACGATCTCGTCTATCCTCGGCAGGTTACCTCTGTCGAT